AAATAAGGAAAATACCATGAAAATCTAAATTTAATGCATTATTGCCTTGTAATTGAATTTCAAAATTTAAATTTTGAATTCTTTCCTTGATAATGTTTATACAATTTAATCAATGATAAGTAAAGACCCACATATTATAACAATTGACAAGCACCCACATGAAATTGTGTACCTGACATACAAGTAAATAGTGTTATTATTAACAACGAAAAAAACTTAGTGATAAATTGTGTTACCTATAAGTTAGGAACATAAATTAGAAGACTACCTATTAAAAAAAAGTTACATAAAATACTATTACACATTGTTGAAAATATGAAAAAAAAATCCATATATACCTATGCAATAGGCAAGAGGACAATATACTTACACCATATGATAATATATCTACATAATTATTGTAGATCTTGTAATTATTGTCCTATAAATTAATTTTTACACGATCTATATTTCAGGGGTATAATAGGAACAACTAGATAATTTTTTTTAAAAAAATAACAATAGATCTACATAAAAAAAAATACGAAAAAGGAATGTAATTCAATTTTGCAGAAAAGTCAAAGGATTTATATCAACAACAACAAATGCGAGGATTAAACCCAACTTATGTTCTCAATTTTAAATTTATCTAAATTTTCTACTTTTAAAATGGCATGGAGTACTTGGTATCCCAATCGTACTAAGTAGTTTAAATTGGTATATTTTAAATTCTAAAACAAAGTGTAGTTAAGGGTAATACTTAGATAAATGAATTCTTCATGTGTACTTAAGTTTGCGAATATTATATATACTTAAGTATAGTTTTAACTAATTTACTTTATGTGACCGTCATGTTACACATATATATATATATCGCTTCTGTTGTATGCAAGAATGATTGGAATACTTTGAATTTTAGAATCAATATACATTACATGTACGTATGAAAGTGGATAGAATTCATTTCACATTCACTATCAATATTATATAGGCTACTAAACGGATAACGAGAACAACGTTAACCACTTTCTTCTTTGTGAAATTGTGTTGTGCCTCATGTGTACTTGATGTATTCTATTTATCTTTCATGCCTCTCTTTTAACAAAAGCTATTCTTTCTTATTTCAAATCCTTAAAGTTTGTTTCTTGTTTTTCGTATTTTGTATTTTGTATTTTATTAATGAGGCATTGGCCCTCGGGGACCATATATAATATATATATATATATGCTTGTAAGTTGTCCCTTGATGCTTCTTCTGAACTAGTAGATTTGTAGATAGATGGAATGGAACATGCCTTTGCCTCTGTGGCGCGCTTCCTTTTTTTCTTGGCTTTGCTCTCACGAGTCACAACACAAAACCAGGCCATGCATGGTGTCCATGGTCCCCTTCCCTCACGCATGCATGTGGCTATGGCTATTCGCTTATAAATTTATAATTAACTAAATCTAAAGCCCTTTTCTTTTTGCTTTGTCAGAGTGAAAGCCCCCCACACTTGCTGATATATATATATATATATATTTATCTACAACACACAACTGAAAGAATTTGCTGATTTGATCTCATCTCTGTCCCTCCACCCTGCAAGATATATATCTATATGTATAGTTGAATTCAAATTCTTTGGAGGGTTGTCCTTCCTTGCTTCCTTGCTCACTTTGCGTTGTCTTTCACTGATCTAAACTGTTTATTTTGTAGATATTCATTTAAAGATCATCTATATAAAAAAATCCCTTGAATCCGATATTATTTGATCATTCAATTAAATTATTGAAATTTAAGTACTTTCTTGTAGCACCATGTTTATTGATTTTGTTGGTTTCAATTAAATGCCTTAATAATTTTCAATTTGTCTGATTTTTTGCAAAGATGATTTATGAATGAAGACTTGAAAATAGACGATTTGGATTGTTGAAAAAAAAATCGTAGGATACCCTAAAGGGTAGCCCTTAAGAGCATGTCCAGCGCATGCCACCAACCCAGGCAAAAGGCCCCCTGCCAGCCCAAAAGACCCTCCAGTGCGCCACATGCAGCCCAGGCAAGACTTGGGTCCCACCAACATGGGCAAGCCCACGGGCAATTTCAATCTGTGCTCAAACCCGAAGGCGTTGACGTCAACGCTGATGTCACGTTGACATCAGCGAGCGAAAAAAATACCAAAAAATTATGGATGTTTTCCTATAAATACATAACAATTTTATTCACTTTCCACACCAAATCCTCATACAAACTCTTCTCCTTCCAATATTTGTAAATTATAATCTTTTTTTTTTCTTGCATTGGTAAATTTTTTATATTTTCTTCCATATTTATTTTTTTCTTGCATAATCATTTTATTTCTTACATTTCTAAATTATTTATATTTTTTTGCATATTTTTTTTTTTCTTGCCCTTGCCTTAGCCTTTTGGGGTGGAACCAAAAAAGGCAAGTCTGCCACTATTTATGTGAATAGTGGCAGCCCTTGCCTTGCGTTTGCCTTTTGGGGTGGACTTGCTCTAATGGAAGGGGATTGATATTAATTAAAATAGATTATTATAAATAAACCCAATCCTAGACATGTATTTATAAAAAAACCCACACACTATTTAAACATATAAACACACCCAAAATCAACCCCAAAGTCAACAATTGTATATTTTTTGGGTGTGTTTATAAATGGGTTTTGAGTGTGTGTAATGATGGGTTTTGGGTGTGTTTATAAAGTGTTTTGGGTGTTGGATTTTTTTATAATTTCAGCCCCCATTTTGGGTGTTTTAGTGAAACTCCCTAATTAAAAAGCATGCATATAGGAGGAGGAGCAGGATATGATGAAATGAGGCTATGATGGTGACAACCACCCTTCTACGTATGGTAACAAGCTAGCCACCCATAATTGTTGTTTGTCACAAAAGAAAAAGAAAAAAATGATCATCTATTTTCTCTCCTTTTCTTTTCAGTCTTTTGCTAGCTATATGATCAAAAAAGCACCTCAAATATTTCATAGGGAAAAAATATATTTTTTAAATTCCAAATTAATTAGGTAAAATTTGTGAATCGAATTAGTTATGCATGTTTTTTTAATTTTTTTTTTCTGATTGGTGTATAAATAGTATATATGTTGGTTGCAAAACTGAAACGAATTACAAGAGCATAGTATAGCATACTGATAATTACAGAAAACTAATTAAGAAGCTGTAGCGCATACCTTCAATTGGATTGGTGGGGTGTTTAGTGTCACTGTGTCAAGCCAAGCCAATCATATAAAAGATGCGACTTCCATTATCCATATTAATATCTACCCTAGACCAGTCTCTCTGAGAGAGAGAGAGAGAGAGAGAGATTGCCACTCAAGATTTTATTTTATCTATACATTTTTAAAATAAATAAATATATTTATTTTAGAATTAAAAAAGATAATGGGTAGTTGTGTTCCATAAAAGTAGGATTTATTATCTTATTTTTACGGAATACAACTACCCATTATCTTTTTTAATTCTAAAATAAATTTTAAATTTTTTTAAAAAAGCCTCTTGCAGGCTCAAAAGCACATGCGAAAATGCTAGTTTTAAGAATGATATGCATCACATTAGTCAAGTTCTTTGGTCCAAAACATTACACATGATTAATTCAAGGATTTTGTCTAATTTCACCAACCCCATTATTTTCAGCCTATTCGGTTCGGTGCTTGCCTTTTACCAACCATTATGTCCTGATTTGAAGCTCACCCCATTTCTTGTCTAACTCGTCCAATTTTTATGCATGAAAGTGAGCAGCAGCCAGCAGACAGCAGAAATGAAGAAATGACTAATGAGGTTGTGTTTGGTGGGTTTGTTTTTTCTTATTTTACACACACAACACCACTCGCATTTGAGACACACCACAATTTGTTTTCTCTCTTCTTCTATTTTTGTATATTCTCTATTATATTATTATTTTTGGATAACGGTTATGTGTCTTGAAGACTTTTATCTGACTATGAACATGCTCATAGATGACCTTGAGCTTATGTACTAGGAGTTGTATATTGGAGTCTTGTAGACCATTATTATCTACACGTAAGGAGGCTACACACAGGCTTTAGATTGTTATTAAAAATGTGATTTTTCCTTTTCAGTAAAACCCAAATTCAAACCTTTAAATATAAATATTATTTAAAACAAAATTTTAACAATAAAGTAAAAATAAATAAATAATAAATAAAGTAAAATAAGTTAAGAATAAGAAAGCAAGATCCGCACAACACAACGCAACTAAAGGAAAGAACCTCTCGCCTCGCCCCCATCCATAATCGTATAAACGACATCATGCATTTTACAATATTCACGGATTGACCCCAAGGTCGTTTGTCTTATTATAGGAAAATAATTGCCAACTGACTTTGTCCATTTGCAGTTCAGGACAAGCCACGTGTAGTGTGTAGTACACGGTACATACATGCTGTAATTCTGGACTCACCGTTTTGAGGTTGGTACCTCCTTGGGTAACTATGCATTGGGTTTCAACATCATAATTCAAGCCTAACTCAAAGTAAACGCTACATTCAGATTTTTCAGCTCAGCCCAATTCAGCCTCCCAACCCAAAATCACATCACTCCAAAAGTGTATATTTTCTGAAGTTCAAATGTATACATACACTTTTATGGTTTCGGGTTCTTTTGCGACCCGACCCCATTCGACCTCAAGTAGATTGAATTAAATCAGATGATTTTAGGGAGATTTACTATTATACTCAATATAGGGGTCCAAATTATAAAAAATCATATATGAAATAAACTTTAGAAATACATACAAAGCCTATTTACAACATAACAAAGAGACATTTAACTTCTTATAAATTACAAAGCCGCCATCGATTTCTTAAAACAAGCCCAATCCCAAAACCTTGTAAAAAAACTCAAAACACTCAATAAAGCATCAAAGTAATTTAATAATTAAAATTAAATTCAATAAACCAGCTGTAATTTTTTGAGTTTTTTTTGGGTTTGTTTATAGAAATTAAATGGTGTAGAGTTTATCCATATCATTAGTGCTAAGAATGGATATATGACTAAATATCTCATGATTTTATCTTATCCCATTACAAATAATAGTTCAGCATTTGCACCCAACACCAGATAGAAAATCAATGAATCTTCACCCTTACATGAAGCAATGAAACTCAGGGCTTCCGAGCTAAAAGTTCACAAGTGATTATATCATCCATGGATGCTGAAGACCTCCCGGCACCTAAGACGGGAACAAGGTTGAAGATGGGTTCCTTGCCAGTCTTGATTATCCGACCCATTGCAGCGAGTTCATCGAATGCATTGGTGAACATGAGTGAGAGTGCATTTGCAGGCACTTGAAGACTTGTTGGAAAGTAGAACCTCAAATACTGTGCAAGGAAAGACACACAATGAGAATAATAGTCATGAAAACATAAAAAACATAAAAAACAGAAAACAAAGGAGTACCCAGACAAGAAACAAACCATTGTGTCATCCCAAGAGAAACCGCTCTCCGTGATAATTTTATCAAGAAGATATATGCAAAATCTTGATACTCTATCCATCTGCCACTCTGTGAGAGAATTTTGACTATCCCCTTTGTTCTTGTCACCAACTAGATGGTCATGACAGATGGTCGCAGCAGGTTCACTACTCACAGACAAAATGACTGTACATAATTTTCCAGGAACAACACATTTCTGAAAACAAGAATCATGCCACTCTGCATGCTGAAAACCCCAGTAACCAGGAGTGCTTGAGCAAGATTGCTCTTTCACATCCCCAGTTGGTTCTTCAATATCGTCTGCAACAAACAGAATGGGCTTAACTTCCATAAGGGCCCTGCAATGCCAGAAAGAGAAGGAACCTGATTATAAATTTCATCCATATTTCAGGTCGCCGGGTAGGTACAGCAGAATTACTAAAGCAATTTATCATTAGCATTTTGTAAGAATTGACAGGTGCAATTTAAGGCATTTTCTTTGTTTTTTAATAGGAGAAGTTAAGGGATTTAATTGGTAAAACTTAAATATACAGATATGTGCAAGAATTGTTGAAAGAAGGATCCCACAATCATGATGAAATAAAATCAAACCAAATGAGGAGCAAGGAGCATATAGATTTTCTTCCGAGTGCATAATATGAAGAAGAAAGGCCCAACATGGAGACAGAACAATACCCTTTTGGCAGATCAGGGACTAGGACATATAGAAAAATGGGATCAAATGCTTCAGAATTGGTTCCTTTATCCAAATTGAAGACCCTTGTTTGTTTAAGGAACGCATCCTGCTTGTCCTGGATTTTAAATCTCTCTGTTGATGGAATTTTCGTTGAACAGTAAATGACAAAGGCAATAGCTGAGGTAGATATTGAACAGTTAAAGCATTTAGCCACTGCTTCACTGTTTTCAAGTGCTTTTTCCAGCTCATCAATGGCGCCTCCTTGGCATAATGTCATTGTGGGAGGGTTGAGTCCCAACTGTCCAGCCATGTGAAGTATCTCCTTATGCAAAGTTGCCTGGAAGCAAACAAATTGATTGAAATTAAAAAATCAACCACATTTTAAAAATTAATGGAGTTTTGTATCACGAAAATATGCTAAACTATTGTTTTCATTTTAAAAAAAAGTATAAGGAAAGGTGCTCAAATGGGAAACACTGAGCAAGGCAAGTCTCACATCCAAGCCAATACGGAATCTTGTTTTCATTGACTGAAACTTATTGATGACATATGTTTTTACCTGGCTATATGGTCCAATACAACTGGGTGCCCAACAAGATATACTTTGTACATGTAGAACTCTTTTGGTATGGTCATTTGCCACAAAAACTTCCATGTAAGCACTACCTAAACCCACTTGCAACAAAGGCAGTTCAATTGTACTGCGGGATGGAACTCCAAAAGGACACTTTTCCTGAGTTATATATCTCACATATGTATCATTTGCTGTCGCAAACTCATTCATATCAGCAATATAAAGATGAATATACAAAACATTTTCCCAACCAAAACCATTTTCTACAAGTATTGATTCAATTTTCTTTAAAACAGCCTCCAGATCTTCTTGCAAACCTGTATATTAAAAACACTAGTAAATTGTAGTCATACTATCTGAAGGGCAATAGACTGGCAGGGAATACAACTGCAGAAGTATATTTCATTTACTGTTTACCTGTGGAAGTTGTACATGAATCTTGCAGCCGGGAACAAATAGAAAACGTATCACCCTTTTGTGTTCTTGAAATGTGAAGTTTATGTTCAGCAAGTTCAACCAAATTGTTAACTGGGGCATCATCCTGGCATGCAGCATCACATTCTTGGGGATGGTCTCCTTGCACTTCACATAGAAAACCCTTCTTCTCATGATACATCTCGTGGGTTTTGTCACTGCTTCCCAAAGAACAGGATTGTGCCTTATTTTCCAAATGAAAAGCCAAGGGATGAAGCACCCCAACTGGAGCTATGGAATCTGATGAGTGCAGTCTAACTTGAAACTCATCCAGCACGATTCGAGCATTCTGTAAATTTCAAAATTTTGTAGAAGGCAATGATATAAAAATTACAATCCCCAAAACTTTGTAAAATGCAACAAGTGACCTAAATTTGAACTTCCAAAATGTGATGAGAATACAGTACACAAGAAAAGTAGGGATAATACCTTCCAGTAATTAGCAGACATTATTGACTGGAAAGAACTAAAATTTCAAGCAAAGGATAAAGCTAAGTTATACATTTCAGATTCTGCACACTCCAGCGTATGCACACAATGGGTATGTTTGAGCACCTGTTATGTACAACTGAATCTATTCTTGTAATTTTAAGGAATGGTATGAACTTACAACAAAGAGAGGGCAATCCAGTGTCAATGTTTCATATTCCCCTCCTTCACCACATACATTAATCCCATACAACCTACCAAGGAATAGAAGATTAGCAAATACAATGAAGGATGGTAATATCGATATACTGGATAAATTTCTGGTTTGGGGTGAGTTGATGGTTATGTGGGATCTCCATAGTGGCATGAAAATATACAATATACAACATCACCCACTGCCCCCAACCCGAACTGGAAGAAAATAAAGCATGGCATACTCTTTCAACTTATGCAGATAGGGCTGCAAGGATGCCATTTCTTTGCCCAAGTGCTTTGAGGGATCCAACCCCATGGCAGCAACCTATGACATTCAAACAGTATTAGGCTCCAACCCCAAAAACATCAAAATAAACATGCAAGTCATTTGAACTAAAAAAAAAAATGTTAAACAATAAACTTTACCTTCACTGTAATCGCCACAATCCCATTAGTTATCTGGTTGGCAGAAAAAGTTTGTGAGTTAAAATAATATTATCTTAATGGACAGCATTCATGCTGCTAATAAACAAATTACCATTTCTTGAAGAAGCAATGACTGATCTTGTTTCCACAGGTATGCTAGAGAAACAAGCCCTAACCTAGAACAGACACTTTCCACCCGCAGCCTTTGATAGTCTGATGCAATAGCACCGGAAGATACGCCTGTGACAGAAGGGATCTGTCTTTTCACTTCATTTAACAAAAAAAACATATCTTCAACTTCATCCCCAAGAGTCATTCTATAGCTAAGCTTCTGATGCCTACATAATCCACAGAAGCCATGGGAGAATAAAAACATGCTTGACACAATTAAGCAATCAAGGGGGTATAAGAATTCTTACAGGAAGGAACTTTGTCAACAATAATAACAGAGATTTCAACTTCTCAATCTAAGATAATTTGTTTTACCAAATTTCCTTCTTAAAAGTCTTGCCTTGTGGATCCTTGGATTCGCCTTCTGAACAGCGGAACTCCCATGCATTCTGCATAGCTGACAACTATCTGGTGTCCAACCTACGGAAAGTAATGAATAGCTCAAGAATCACATTGCCAGCTTTCCTTAACTTTAAAGTTTAAACTAGACAAATGCATCTTCACAACTTAGCTCTTCATATTAAAAGAAAAAATATTTGAAGGAAAGAGAGACTTACAGTTTGATACATGTAGCTATCAAGCTCGTCCACCGAATCATCAGCAGGCATCAAATTTGCCACTGCAACAATCTGAGTAATAACAAGCATAGATGAGTCTTCAAACTCCGAAAGATGGCATTTTTTTTTTTTTTTCATTTTCTGCAAACATATGAAGACAGAAAGAAGAGATAGAGAGTGCAACTTATTATATTCTTTGTTTCTTTCTGACAAAAAGAAAATTAAAGTTGGAACAAATAGTTAAGCACAGTTCAGCAAGAGGTTCTGGGTAGGTAACTAAGCAATAAAAATTGCATTTTTATAACAGAAAAATAGATACAAGGCGAAAACAACATGAAAGAAAAGGAAGAGTTTAATCTTTCTTTCATGTTCCTGCGTTTTTAAGGGAACCAAAACCGGAAGTGGTGAAACCTGGTGGCCATATTGGATACACTTCATCATGGCATAACAGCTGTCTTTGCCGCCGCTTACTAAAGCCACCACCTTCATATCTCTGCCTGCTGCGCTATCAACACCGGCGGCTGCACCAAGTTTACGGTTTCAGCTTCTCTGTGTGTTTGGGGAAGGCCGGGGTTTTGCGTCTGTGTGATTGGGCGTTTAGCTGCACAAACCTCCCTCGGTTGAGTGAACTGATTTGGAGATAAACCAAACCTCTTTGTTTTTTGTTTAAATTTTACATAAAAGTTTGTTTTTTAAACATTTTATTTCTCAAGTTTAATTATATTGAATTTTATTATAATAAAGGATCTTTGTGAATTTCATCCCAAAATTTTTGGATTTTGTATTGGAAGTAGAAACCTTAATTTTACATCACCAGTAAGTACGATGCATATGCTAATTAATTTGCTAAATGGCTGGAACTCAATTTCCTATACATGAAGGTTACTGGTAGAAGATGATAGTTTACCAATTGTCTTTGTCTTGTTTAAATTTGCTAAATGGCTGGAACTCAATTTCCTATACATGAAGGTTACTCGTAGAAGATGATAGTTTACCAATTGTCTTTGTCTTGTTTGCTTACTTCAGAAAAGTAGCTTTTGACTTCCTGGTTATTAAAACAGTGATGCTTTGGGCAATGAAATTGACACGAAAGTGCAGTTACTAAAGTCATGAGCTTCTGCAGTTTCCATTGAATTTTCCATCTGCCTGTATTCAAATTCAACAAAATATTCCAACTGAATTTTCCATCTGCCTGTAGTCACGGGTTCCCTAGCTTTTTGTTTGGGTACCGAAAAATGGTGTATGATAGAATGGAGGAGAGGTAAAGTGGCATCCACTCAGAACATCAAGTCAATGCTTACTAACATAGAAAATATCGAAAAATGAAACCAAGAATATCAATTGATAATAACCAAAATCCAACTCAAAATTTCTTAACAAAGAAAGTCTGACACCACCTAATAAATTTTACAAATGAATGTATTTTTGAACAACCAACCACTATAACAAAAATAAATAAGAAACTTAAATAAGTGATATCTTACAACTTGAGGTAACAATTGAACCAAATAGAGAGCGAGAGAGAGAAGAAAGAGGGGGCTGCTGAATGTTACGGATGTTATTATCTTTCAACTGGACGTGGTTAATCATCTCTGAGCAGGCAGCTATTCCGCATGCTACGATACGGGGCAATGGGGCTAGCACTCTGACCCATCATTTGTTTAATTCATGCACACGCAGACCATTTTTTTTTTTGTTTTACTGGTGGCACAAGGTACCCTGACACCGCCAAGTTCAGAATTTTCCGTCAATAAAGTGTAGGTGTCTCAACTGCCACAGTTTGTTCAATATACTGATTCTATGAGTCGTCAGTTCTGTCTGATTGCCTGTTTAAGAAGAATCTGAAATTTCCTAGTCTATTCCTGCAAGGTACCCTGACACCGCCAAGTTCAGAATTTTCCGTCAATAAAGTGTAGGTGTCTCAACTGCCACAGTTTGTTCAATATACTGATTCTATGAGTCGTCAGTTCTGTCTGATTGCCTGTTTAAGAAGAATCTGAAATTTCCTAGTCTATTCCTGCAAAGAAATACAAATGCAAAGGTGAAATTTCCATAGGTAATGGAGACGAGAAAAGAAATTATGCAGAACAATAAATTCATCATTTGATGCCTTGGTACTTGTGATCCATACAAACAAAGTTATGATGTTTGATCTGAGAGAGTCTACGGACTTGGATTGGTGTTTCAGCTAGTATCTCAAAAATCAAATGCAACACAAATGAAAGTATCCATGATTGCATGTGAAGTCAAACAACAAATCTTTGTGATGATTGCTTATAAGTTGTTTAGGATCTGCACCTATGGTAATCGTCATCTGCTTCAACTATATAATTTTCGGTCTAAGAAACTGAGGCTAACAAGATGCTTCCCATCAGCCCATCACACAAATTCACCACAATTATTTTAGGGAACTCATACTCGTTTTAGAACTCTAAGAATCTTTACCCAGGTAGGATATTATGCCCTATTCCACACCTAGCTTGCACCATCAAAGGAAAGGGTAAAAATAAATAAAGCTTTTCCAAATTTACTATCTTACCCGAGTTGAACTCAAAAGGGAGCCTCAAGCGATTCGTCCCAAACTTCAGCACTTCCATTGGAGGCATCTTCAACATCTTCTTCCATAGAAAGTCTGATATATTCTCTATGCGCAAACCGGTCCCACTCTGTCAAGGTTGGATTCTCGCGTTCCTGTACACGTCCAATACCAGCAAGGCAGTCACCAACAATAGTAATGCAGTCCACTAATCTAACATTTTTATCTGGACTCTTCCAATTTCAAATCATGAAAGGATTATTTGTTTTCTGTACCTGACGAATGAGAAACGGATCACGAGTTTCAAAGGCCATGAACTTGTTAAGGTTGAAAAGGATATTGAAGACACTTCCTGAAAGCTTACAGCTTTTCAGGTCACGGAGTGTGATATAGCTCTCATTCTGCAAGAACAAAACTTCATGTCAACCACAGTAAAACCATATCTAACTAATGGTGCATTTGGAGAAACATGCATAAAAGATTCCTAGAATTCCATTCTTTTATACAACTTTCTTGAAGCAATAAACCTAAAAGGAGGAGAGGGAAGGAGGGGGGGTTACTTAAATATAGTAAGAATTGGAAGGCGGAATAATGTGTATAAATTGGTTAGTCTTGGTTTTGATTGCTCATGTACAAGTGATCTTTAACTCTTTAATAATGTATTTCGATAAGGACTAGGTGTCCTCAGCCTAGTACATCCAGGTTTTGTTAATAAACTTCAGTTTATTCTCCAAAAAAATAAGAAGAAGAAGAAGAATATAACAATAAAAAGGAACAGTCAGAAAAAGGCACAAATAGGAAAAGGCAAACCTCTGGTCCAATCATGTCAATTATCTGGCATAATATATCCTCAAAGAGAACAGGTTCTTGGGCCATGCATTCCATTCTATGCAATTGCTCCTCATAAAAGAATTGCAGTTCATTCCGTGTCAGAACTCCATTTCCATCCAAATCTACGCACTTGAACCTAACAAGAACAATGTAGTGTCACAGCTACTAGGCAGCTGATAGAATAATTAACTGAATAGTCACTCTAGCAAACTGAGAGCACACATTCAATTACAATTAATTAGCAGCTAAACGTAAGAGGTAAAGATATACCAGAACTCAAGGCTAGGCTCAGACGATTTATCCTCCTCTGACAGAATGAAGTACACAAAATCTTGATATCCCATCTTTCCCTCAACCTTGCTAGTAAACTTTCTTGCAACCTGGAACCAAAAAAACTCATTTAATACATAATCAAGACTGCGTGTTTTTGTATTCCTGTTAGAGAGAGAGAGAGAGAGAGAGAGAGAGAGAGAGGACCAAGATTTAAGTTTTTATTGAAAGAAAAGTTTTTCTTGTAGTCGGTCTGACACAAAATCTTCATGACACAAACCTGAGAAAATATTCTGTCAACAATCCGGTAGGTAAGTGCATGGTTACCATATCTTATCAGGTTCTCTTTGTCGATAAGGAAATCATGGTCCGTATCCAGCTCCCAAAACTTGCAGTATATAACATAAAAATGCTCATAAGAGAAGTACCTGTAACAGATAATATAAGAAATCAAGGGGTTAGATGAAGACCAAAAAGTTTTGATATCAGATATTGTACATAAAGATGCAGCGAGGAACACACTCTAGCACACTATTCCAGATTGTGTGAAAGAAACGAGACATGGTGATTCCTCATTTTACTGCTCACACTTTCAAACACAAATAAGTCCCTATCCGGAATCCTTACCTCAAAACCTTATTGATGTCCTCTTCTTCGTCCGCATGTTGCATTGCATCAATCAAGTTTCCACGTTTCAGCTCCCTGAGGGTGAGATGACCGTTCCCAGATCTATTTATGTAGTAAAATATTCTGTATATTACAGTTTCAGCTGGCCCATTGCAATATTATCTCACGTTAAGGTTTGCATCATGCTAAAGTTATTGCATCAATCATAACCAGAGAAAAAAAAATGGAATACCAAAACAGTATAAGGAAAAGGCTGATTATAGGTGGAGAACAAACCGTATCTTTCTTGAAACTCAGGTGTGCTCTGTAAGAACTCCAACCCTGGATGAGTTGCCAAAAGTTCTCGAAGGACAGGTTTAAAGTCATCCTGATATCAAACAGGGGTAGGATTTAGGATAGTAGGTAATGCATAAATTGCATTTATCATGATTCATATTTGTAGAGATATAAGGTTGTACACAGATCTGTAATAAAATATAAAAGGAGAAGAAGAATATAAAACAAAACAAAAACCTGAGTAAGGTACTTGAGATCTGGTTGCTTTAAGATTGAATATATTTGAGTAGCTATATCCATCGTCAACATGTTTCCATTGACCCAATAATCAGTAAATGTATCCCTACAAACAAATTAATTGAAAAAGTAAGAGCATGGACATAAGATAAGACGCAGTAGGGCAGACATGGACTGGGGTGGGGGTTGGGGTAGGGAGCACACTTAGGAAACTACATTCTTTCACAAGCAATAACAGAAAGTATACCTTGTTACAAATCCAGTGCTATTAACATCAATCTTTCGGAAAAGAGACGTGGAGAAGTATGAAGGCAGCTTGCAAACTTCCTTAGCAACTGATTTAAATTCTGATATACCAGAGAGAAAATTACAGCTCGTTCCAGTAATACCACATAAACTCATATCTTATGTATATCTCACCTTGCATCTGCAGTCCATCTGCATTTCCAGAGAAAAACTGATTGATTCTAAATAAACATTGCTGTTTTAGTTCATTTGGAGGTGGGCGACCATTTAGAAAGTAAAACTGCAAGTGGTACAAAAATCCAAGTTTAAAAAAATTACTAACCTTCTCCTAAAAAAAATCGTTACACCTAGTTAAGTTCAAATGAAGAAAGTGCATAAGAAATTATATAGCAAAATAGTAGCACCAGATTGCCAGAAAATATCAGGATTTGTCAAACCTGAGGTATCAATTCTTTAACTGGCTCACTAACTACTTTCAGGGGAGAACCTAAATTAGAAGGGCCAGCCCTCTGTTTCATAATGCGAGGGGAGCCAGATGAACTTCTTGGTGACAGTGGTGGTGCACTGCCCGCTGGAAACATGGAAGGCAAAGCATTGCCTGCAGTGGCATGCGGACTAGAAGAGTTTCCATGGACAGTTAAGGG